GTAGTAGTCGTAGTCGTGGTAGTAGTAGTAGTAGTAGTAGTAGTAGTAGTAGTAGTACTAGTAGTAGTAGTAGTAGCAGTAGTAGTAGTAGTAGTAGTAGTAGTCGTAGTCGTAAGTAGTAGTTGTAGCAGTGGTAGTAGTCGTGGTAGTAGTAGTAGTAGTAGTAGTAGTAGCAGCAGTAGTAGTAGTAGTAGTAGTAGTAGTAGTACCGTAGCGGATGTTACAACATTTGAGGGTTGCAGAGATTGATGCCTTCACAAACTGTCGGGATTAGGGTGGGTGATAACTTTTAACCACTAACTTAGTCTCTGAATTGCACGAAGGCTACAGGTGACCCTGAGGGGGGCTGCACCACAACAACTCCGATCAAAGATGTCGAGGTTGAAGGTTTAGGGTCGAGGTTTCTGGATTTAGAGTTTAGGCACTCGCTTGCCCTGCGATCCTGAATCGATTCTCCATGTCTTTGTTAGCATCGCCCTTCTCCACCGCTCGTGCGCAGTCCTCCCAAGGCATGCAAGCTCCACTACGTTGCTGTCATCGTCATCTTTTCCTATTGCTGCTACTACTACTACTACTACTACTACTACCACTACTAGTACTAGTACTACTACTAGTACTACTACTACTACTACTACTACTCCTACTACTACTACTCCTCCTACTACTACTCCTACTACTACTCCTACTACTACTACTACTACTACTACTACTACTACTACTTCCTTAGTCGTTGAGTCTTGTCTTGGCTCCTGTCATGCTCTTCACACTTTTTGCAGGCAGTGCTTCCCTTTCCTTAACGACCTTAATAGCCTTAATAATTAGAACAAGTGCTTCACAGGGATCCTGAAAGGGGTTCTATAAGGGATCCATGATAGGGCTCTATAATAAGTAGAATAGGGTTGGGGGTATATTATATTGTAATTATAAGTTATAAGGAACCCACAAAAATAGTATAGGTAATTATTGCCCTTATATTACTCCTGCTCCTGCGGCACCACTCGGAGTCCTTACGGCCATTAGGCTCAGTGGAACTAGAACTCTTCGGCCCTAAAACCGACGGCCCACGAGAAACATGGCATTAAACCCAATCCTAAATCGGGCATGACCCTGATCAGCGCCTTAGATTGACAGCCATCTACGCCTGAAGGCGAGCCAAAAGCCAAGCAATACAACATCGAAGCCGAAACCTCAACCTGAATCGGAATCCCTAAGCCCTAAGCCACACTCCTAACCCCTGAGCCCTTAAAGGAATAGTTTCGAATCGTTGGGTAGTTTTACGACACCCCAAAATCCTACTAAACCCTAAGCCTGCAGCCCTAAACTCTAAGCCGCATGAACCGTAAAGCCGCCCAAAAAAACCCTAAACCCTCAGACCTTAAAGAAAAAGCCCCCAAAACCAAAAAAAACACCGCCGAGTCCTCAGTCCGAAGGCGATCCATGCCTCGGATGCCAGGGACCTTGCTCTTCCCCTGGCAGAAAAACTTGCGGAGGCAGGGTCCCCGGGGCTCAGGGTTTAGGGTTTAAGGTTGGGGCTTAGGGTTTCGGGTTTAGGGTTTAAGGATCCG